GCAGGAATGAAAATGCAGCTCTGGATTGGCATGATGGGAAGCCCACAGGGCGCAGAACAAGCACAAGGGGCTAATTGCAGAATCAGAATCATTTGAATATATACGTGCTGATTTGCGCTCACCTTCAGCTAATGCTTAGGGGGCGTTCGGGTCAGTGTTCCCCAAGTTTAGGGTCAGGGTTTGGTGTGGGCAAGCTTCCCTGAGCCCTCTCTCAAGAACACAGAAGGGTGCAGGAATAAAGACCTTTAAAAAATGAACCTCTCTCCCAAAATGCAGTACAGCAGAGCCTGAGCAGTTATTAAAATAACAAACCCTTTCATTTACTACATTCAAGCATGTTCAGGGTAATTTTTCTGCAAAAGTGGCTTGCATACAAATATTTTTAACAAGGTAAATATATAATCTTGCAATAATAGCTCCTAATTTTTCTGTTAAGCTGATTGCTGGGAGAGCACTGTGAACTGGTTCTGACAGGTCAGAGGCAATGTCTGTTTGCTTTTATTTTTTGGAGTAATTTGCTGGCACTGAGTCGCAGCCATGAGGCACAGGCTGCAGGTGTGGCTCCGAAACGTTGGAGTATTGTTCAAATAAAACTGTTAGATAGCAAGTATCCAGAGGCAGGGGAAACAAAACAACTTCTTTCTGCCATGAATTCCTTAAATGAGCGTTCACATGGAAAACGGAAAGCGAGGGCAACACTTCATGGACGTCTTGCAAATATTCAACTTGTCTGCCTCAACATCTTCGGCAAGAGCCCGATCCAGCAGCCTTAACCATCAGTTGCACGTTGCCTTCAAGAGAGCAAGAACAGACTGTAAAGTATTTCTCCAGCATTGAATTTATTTAAAGAAAAGCACGAATATTATTTCTGCTCCACCATGTATTTAGAGACTGTTTACAAACTCCGAGGACTCACTTCGCTGAACTTCGCTGTGTGCGTTTGATCAACTGCTGTATGAGCTACAAGATCAGCTTTCACTGGGGGAAATAGCGTTATTATTCTTACATTTTGCTCCAGACTTGACAGTGTTCCCGTTTTCACAGGAAACTGCCTGAGTTACCCAGATGTGGGCCGGCAGCCCTGTGTCGGCTTGCACAAGTGCAGCACCCACCAGCAGTTGCTGAGCTGGCTGATTTTAGCCCAAAAGGTGTGGGGCACTCGTGTGTTTTTCCTCCATCTCCAAATCAGGGATTTTGCCAAAAATTTGAGAACGAGTGAAATCTGGGAGAGGTGAGAGGAAACAACAACAAAAAAAGATCATTAAAAAATAAGAACAGAAGAAAGTAAGGGCAGAAAGAAGCATCCCTGATGGACAGGCTGACTTTCTGCTAGATTTCTGCCTTCCTGAGAAGAAAAGGATATTCAGGTTCTATTTTTTCACCAGTTCACAAGCAGATCAGGGTGGAAAAGCCGAAGTGCCCGGATCCTGCCACAGAGCCGGGACTGGGCACCGACAGCCAGAGGAAACGCGTTTCCACTCGAGCGTCTGCTGCCAAAAGGCATTTTGAGCCCCAGCTCTTCCCCTGTACCGGGGACAGGAGCGTGGGGACTGCGCTAGCGACGGCAGAGAAATGGAAAAGTAGCAAAAGACTCTGAGCTTTCCCCTCCCAGGCACACACACCGCTGCCTCTTAATTTACATGACAAATGCACTGTGCGTACCCTTTGTTTGCACAGTGATTTAGACATTCATGATTAGAGCTCCCTTTCACCATCCAGACCCGATGTTCATTAAAAAAAAAAAAAAAAAAAAAAAGAAAAAGAAAAAAAAGACGATGGAAGGAAAAAAAATTGTAGTCTCTTGGTTGCCTAGACCCGGGCCATGTGTTTGGCTGGCATTGTGCCTGCTAACGAGTCAACCAGATTGAGTAAATCAATGGTGCCAGTGATGATGGATGGAGTTTGCTCGCCTGCATATTTTCAGCAAATGGCTTCTTCTGTTTTCCCTGTTTACCAAGCCCCTTTCAGCGGCGCTGGGGACAAGCTCCATGTACAAATCCAAGTGGCTTTGTAGTAGGGTATTTGCTCAGAAAACTCATAAAACGGGGAAGGAGCATGGCACTCCATTGGAGGAATAACAAGGCTCTCGGCACCGTTTCGGAGGAAGCAGGGACAGAAAAGCCAACGACGCAGCGAGGTGTCTCGTTATGTCCAGCTTCTGCAAAGGCCTGAGCGCGGCGGAGGGCTTGGCCGGGCTCATCCTCCCCCAGCGCCGAGCTGCGGAGAGGACGTCTGAGCATCGGATGCCATGAGCGCGGGTCCCTCTGGGTGATGAGCTGTGGGGATATTATCACTTTGTTTCGGAGAGCCCTCCTCATGTTTTCACTTGGCAGAGGCTCAGATCAGTCAGTTCAGTAGTCTGCCAGAAATAGGAGCCAACTTCCATATAAGAGCAAGCCGTGGAGGCAGGAGTCGGTGCCGTGCCGGCCAGTGGGGTGCTGCCGAGCCCCCAGTCCGTGCCGTGGGTGTGGAAGGAGGGTTCAGCACCTGATTCGCATTAGCCGAGCTCCGGGAAACCGCAGCAACACCAGCTCCGGTGCCTCTCTGCTAAATTGAGCCGTCTGTACTTACATGAAATCCTTTCTGCTCATTCTAACCGCTTTCTTTTCCAGGAGAGGACAAGTTTCTCTTTGCAGAGTGTATAGATTTGTTTTGAAAATGTTGAAGCAATGTTCCTCTTGTGTTCTGTATGAAATGTGCTGTATTATGCAACATGCATGCTTAAAATGATGGCTGTTCTCATTCACACTGGGGATAATGGATAAGAATAACTTGCATTTCTAATCTTGGGTTTAAGCTTTTATATTTATTTTGTCTTTGCAAAAATAAGATGTAAAGAGCCGGGGAAAGCAAGCGGGTGCGGGGAGGGGAAGGGGCTTAACGTTGCAAAATAAGGACTGTCAAGCTGACTGTGCTGCTGTTCTTGGACAATGATGAGCATTTTCTCATAGAAAGTTTTTGAATGTTTTCTCTTTTATACTTGCTGCAGAATGCAGTGCGTCATAATCTTAGTCTTCACAAGTGTTTTGTGCGAGTAGAAAACGTTAAAGGGGCAGTATGGACAGTGGATGAACTAGAGTTCCAAAAACGAAGGCCACAAAAGATCAGTGGGTATGTCCACCATGTTTGAACTTCTTAGCCTAGCTTGGATCATGCTTACAGTTTAACGTAGAGGCTTTTGGCTGCTAGCTGGTGTTAGACCAACCACAGGTGGTTTCGCATTGTTTCAGTTAAGGGAAACCAAGACAAACATCTCATCACTACTGTTTGTATGCCCACCAGTACCCTGACCCTGCTTGCTTGGTGTTTGTTGCATCACATGCTAGTAGCTTTTAGGTGGCAATGCATATTAACCCTCACAAACCATTTGCTTATGCTTATTGCATTTTATTTTCTTTTTCCTTTTCCCTGTATTTGATGTCTGTTCTGTCCCCGATCCCGTGTCCCTTTGTTTCCACTTCATCTCCTTTGCTGCTGCTCTTGTCCCAGGGTGCCATTCGCACCAACCTCTCACTGCATAAGTGCTTTATCAGAGTAGAGGATGAGTTTGGGTCCTTTTGGACTGTTGATGATGAAGAGTTTAAACGTGGCCGTCATATTCAACGAGGCCGTCCTCGAAAATACTGCCCTGATGAAAACTTTGGCGAGCTTGTTGCACAGTAAGAGCTTTTACTTGCTTTAATTTTTTTTTTCTGCTGTTGCTTTGCTTTGCATGATTTACCCATCTCATGTAGACTTGCATTTCACGAAATAGTGACATCACCTTTGCTGCTAAAGAAACTAAATTTTTGGTTGTTATGTGTATTTTGTGTGTCCTACTCTGATAATCCAAATGCCTGTAGTTATAACTCTGCCTTGACATGTTTGTTACAGCATTTGTTTATAGAGCAATGTAGACAAAAATAATTATCTGCGCTAGTGTAGAAATGCTGCTGTAGGCCTGTCAGGAAGACAATTATATGCCAGGAAAGGCTTCAGATAAGTTTTAATTCTGATATTTTCCTTTGCTTTCAGTTGTATGCCTTGTTTTGCAGCTCTTAATCAGAAATAGTGTCAGGTGCTTATAAGACAGAAACGCTGAATTAACTTTATAAAGTTTGAAAGCGCGGTGAGACGAGCTGTAAAGACGATAATCAACAGGCCATCCTGTGTCTGCAGCAATTGTGCACAAATATTCCTGGGGTTCCCAAAGCAATTTTCTTTGACCTTTACTTGAAGGCCGTCTCTGCAGGACAACTGATCCTTGCTGGTCCCTGTGGGAGGGGCTCAGTTAAGACTCTTCCCACCATGATTTACTCCCACGTGAAAAAACAAAAATAAAAATGCCCAGTGAGCAATAAAACTTTCTGAGATTTTTTTTTTTGCATTGGCACTTTTTATCTAGTTTGTATTCAATGATTTCTTTATTCTTTTTTCCCCTCTGGTGGAACCAGTGATACCTAGATGCCTGCTAAAGAGAAAGCAGATATGCTTGGCATTCATTTTCCTCAAACCTAGCCCCTTATGTAGACTTAAGACGACTAAAGTAAGGGTCCAAAATAGCACACCGGAATATTTTTTATTAAAACAGCCTTTAGGGCAGCATGTTCTGCGTGGGCCGTGCCGTTGCGCTGCGGTGCCGTCGTGCCCCTGTGCCCGCAACCCCAAACTGTTGGGGCGATGGCGTAGATCCTCACCGGGGCCGCTCACCATTTGCCTGGCAGGAGATAACGTGGCTCAGATCCGCTCTCATCGTGGTCCCTCTGCTCCATTGCGAGGGACTCTGCTGCCAGTGGCTTGGAGAACGATTTGCATGGAGTAGTATTTAAAATGTCCCGTGATGCTTTTGCTCATAGCCTCCTCATGGTGGACCTTTACATGGTAACTGGCTCCCGACACGACGAATATTGGAGAATTTCTCCTGAACACAGCTAAAATGAGCAGAGATGCCAAGATGTGCTACTAACGCAGGGTAGTAGAACACATGGCGAGGTAACGTTGAGTGATAATGATGTTCCTTATTTAGTAAAGGCAAATACGATAACCGTAGCCTAAAACTCAGATATTTGCTTTAAATCAAAAAAAAAAAAAAAAAAAGAGAAACGAAAGAGAACTTGTGTGGAAAAACAGTCTCAGCTCTAGTTTTCTGGTGTGGGAGGAAGCATTACATGCTTGAAACGCTCGCACAGAAGTTGGTTGCATTTAACTCTCCTTTTTATGTTTTTCTTATGCAGTAACCCTTCTCTTATTAAAAACATACAGACCAGCCACACCTACTGCACACCTCTCAATGCTGCTTTACAGGTAAGATTAATGACTGTAGCAAATATGCAACAGAGGCGTGTGTCTTCCCCACTCATTTCAAAATATATTAGCCTTGCTCTAATTAGATATTAAATTTTAATTCCGTTAAACTTTTTTCTTAAGTGCATAAAGCATCATAGTCCCTGGAGGCAAACACATATCAGGCTGCTTCAGCATTAGCTAGATGCTTAGCATTTTGAATATTGTGGCAAAAAAATTAAAAGTTCACTTATTAATATTTATCAGCAGTATCATAATTTCCATCCTCTTATTTCAGAATTTCACTTGAGGCAAAAATACCACAAGTGTAATTACTCTAGCACAGCTATTAATGTGCTGAATGATAGGATACTGCGGCACGTGACCTTCTATTGTTCATGGGTTTAAAGAGAAAGCAGATCATTTTTCCCCCTTTTCTTTTAAGGGCTATTTTTGCATATCTTCCTATTGTCGGTAAAAAAAAAAAATAAACGTTGCAATTCCTATAAAAAATAAAAGATGGGGTTTATTGGTTTAAACTGTATTGTAATCATAAGACAAAAATTCTGGATTTTCACGATGTAGAAATGCACAAAGCGTCAGTGCACAATTAATAACTCACAGCCCAAAAGTGTGTGCGTCTCCAGCCCTCTCCCACGCGCTCTATATCAGGTTGGCTTTTTTTCCTCCTCTCTACAAATTGCTGAGTCTGCCTCAAAAACCCCAGGTAAAGTCAGCATTTTCTATACAAACCAAAGATTCAAATGCATTAGGGTGCCCTGATATTTGGGGGGGTGTGTTCAAGCCTGTTCCATATGGTGTGAATTAATCCAGGAGGCAACACCGCGCGTGGTTGTGCCCCCGTTGGTTGTTGGGAGTCGCTTCTCAAGAAGTTCGCTGATGGCCATGGGTATCTGCTTGGGCGGCCGCCTTTTGTGGAAGGTTTAGCAGACTTCTCTTTTCAGAACGAAGCAGCAGATTATTAGGGGAAAAGCGATGTTCTGCGCTTCTTCTAATTATTTGAGTTTATGCAGGAACTTCTGAAAAGCAAATGAAAGCATGTTTAAATGAAGCAACTGTAAATACCATTCATTAGTAACTTATTTTCCCTTGAGTCTTGTGAAGTGTGATTTTTAAAGACTGCTTTGTCTCTTGAATAGTATTAAGATTACAAGCACATTTTACATTCATGAGGCTGAAAGGCAGAAACGAAATGATCCTGCATTTCTTCACATTGTTAACTATGTGACTAATTTCAATTAATATGCTTATCATACGGAACTGTTCGTGTTTTATTTCTGAAACACGTGTCGTTGTCGTCATCCCCATCCATTCTTGTCTTTTGTGATAACCTCCAAACTGTTCCCATTGCCCACTTCCCCTGGAAGCGGCACGTACTCGTACCCCCCCCACCCCCCGTAGCATCGGGGGAACTGAGTTGATGGAGAGAAGAGCCCGGGCCAGATTTGCTACCGCTCGCGTGGCCCCTGTAATAAATGGGGGTGAGCGATATTCATTGCACTGAGACAGGTCCTCGTTTTGCTTGAAAATAGACCGGCAGGTTCCTCGCTCCTCTCCCCCCCACCATTGGATTTTGGAGGCAGAGTCCCGGCGGGCGCTGGGGTGCTGTACTGGGGTTTGGGGGAAGGCGGCGGCCGGTGCCACCTGGGCAGGTCGGACCTCGCTTGGGCAATAACCTTCCTCCTAGGACGCAAGGCCACTTTACCTGCCTACGCTCAGTCTAATTAATAATTAACGAGCAGTGTTCCCCTGGCTTTCGTGGGCCTCTGCAAAGACCGGCTCTTTGCCTGTCGCCACGAGCGAGCAGCCGCCTCCCGGCAGGCCAGGGGACACGCGGTGTGCTGCGGGACGCCGGGACGCCTTTCTCTTCTCCTGTGGGGTGGCAGAGCTGCCCCTCTCTTTCACCCAGACCCCTCCACGTCTCCTCCGTCTGATTTCCCCCACGGGCAGGGAGAAGCAGCAGCTCTCTCCCCGCTCTGCGTGCGGAGGGCACGGGGACGCCAGCTCTCACCAGCACGCTCTTCTCCCAGCGTGTCACCGGGGGCTCCCAAAACACCCCCCTCCCCTCCTATTATCTTCATAGCAGATACTCCTCGTGTCCCACCTCTCCCCCAGTAAATTGCTTTACTGCAATTACAAGTTATCACTATGGGTGAAGAACTGGAGTCATTATTTTGCCAAGTGCAGGAAATGTGAACCATTCTTTGCATCCCCTAATCACAATGAGTTTGCCGGTTGTTGAATCAAGAAGATAAAAATAATCCTCCCCATTAGAATAGCTTTTGTAATCACGTGCGACACATAGGGCTGCGCGTGGAGAGGTCAACGTAAGAAAGAAGAAAAAGGGCCGTGCTCCTGAAGATGCTGCAGTCAGGGCTGGTCGTGCCTCCTCTCCCCGTCCCATCCCAACCCATCCCATCTCCCCCCACCCTGGCTGGGCTTGCCTGGGAACAACGCTGCCGGCTCGGATGGCAACAAGCAAGGAGTTTTGTCCCGTGAATTAGGAGCAGGCGAGAGCGTTTGGTGGGGAGTACGTTTGCATGAATTCTCTTCCCAGGGGCAGGGTTTGCATCATGCAGACCTGGAGTCTGATGGATTTTTTGGCTCCGCCGCCGCAGGCCGCTGGGGCAGGGATGGGTGAAATGGTTAAATGTCCCTGGGCGCTACGGCCTCGGAGAGCCCCGCATCCCATCCCCACCAAACGCTGGGCTCCTCCGGGGCTTCGGCGCTCCCGCCGCTGCCGTGCCGGGCACAGGACTGTGCCGTCAACATGAGCTAATGCTGACACACAGTAAATATTAGCAGGCAGAACGGTGGGAATCAGAAGGAAAATATTTAACAGTTCATTCTCTTCCTACAAAGATTTCCATTTAGAAAGTTAACTCCAGTGTGCCTCTGCGTGGTATTTCTTTAGAACAAGGAAAAATCAAAATAAAATGGTCAGATCTGTAAGAGCTAAGGTAAGAGCTGAGTTGCTGAGGCTTAAAAAATTCCACATGGACTGGTTCAGCTTTGGGATCGGTGCAACTTGGACCGATCCAGTCAGTGCTAACCACGGCTTCGCACTTGGGTCACGAGAAAAACCAAACTCGGTAACGCTGCCCTCCTGCTTGGTGCCCGTTTGCTCTGGTAGGAAGGAGTTATCAGCTGAGCGTAATCTTTTTCCCCGTTTCATTAGAAACAAAACCCAAACCCAGACCTAAGCCACAAAAAACCCCAAAGCCCCAAACATAATTTTGCAAAATGAAAATAGGGGAAGGACGTTTTATTTTTTCCGGGGGGTGTAATTCCAAATCGGGAATGGAAAGCTCCGTCCTCTCGCAAGCCAATACAGCTATGAATGCTTAAACCCAGATGTATATGATGTTAAATTTCCCTTGGTGGAATCAGGGTAATACCTATCAGAAAGCACAATATTTAAGAAAACGGTAATTGCAAATAATGTAAATGTGGAGAAATGTTTTGGAATAAGCGAGGGTGTTGTGCAACGTATAAAAACGTTAGTCATGGGTCGTCATATATTTGTTTGTGTCCTTGGCAGGCTTCAATGGCTGAGAACAGTATACCTCTATACACTACTGCTTCCATGGGAAATCCCACTCTGGGCAATTTAGCCAACGCGATGAGGGAAGAGCTTAATGGTGCAATGGAGCATACGAACAGTAACGGGAGTGACAGTAGTCCAGGACGTTCCCCTATGCAAGCGATGTAAGTATGGCAGGGCCCGCGCGTGGCTCTCGGCGTTGCCTTACCCTCTCCTGAAGTCTGGCTTTGGAGGCCTTGGTGGTTTCTTCCTGAGGTTCGTGGATGGAGCAGCAAGAGCAGACGTCTCCGTTTGGGGACGTGCTTAGGTTGATTAGAACGTAGAAGGACTGTTTACCGACTTCCGCATAAAACCCATCAGCTCAATCCAGCCTGACAAGCACACAGAGCTATAAAATTGGTGACTTGTTTGCAATTCTCTTCCTTAAACCTTGCAGAACCTCATAGGCAACTGCTTTCTTGAGGGGAAAAAAAAAATCTGATTTCTCTCCCCTTTGGTCCACGCGGCAAGCGCACCAGTGGGGCAGAGCTGGGAAATGGGCTTGCTCGGTGGGTCTAAAGAAAACCCGCTCGACGCACAACGGTCTTGCTAAAGCATTAACGATGGCACACGTGAAGGCCTGCATGATTTATAGATTGCTCTTAAAATATCAAAAGGAAAATTAATAGGAGCATTATAGCAACAGACGGCAGTATAATGAGTGCATATATAACCGCATGAAGTAATGGGGGGATCGCCGTCCCTGCGCAACGTGAATGGCACCCGGGCAGCGAGCTGGCGCAGGAAAGGGTAAGGCAGGAAGGGTGCGATGCCCCGATGGGTGTGTGCAGTATTTATGGGGTGACGGAGTGAGTTTGCAAAGCCGTAAATTCCCCCCCCTCCCCTCAAATTACATACCGGGTAATTGGCGGCTGGCGAGGAAGCTGGAGTTTATAAGTCTTGTCGTACTCTAAAAACTCGGCGGAGCGGTTGGCTACCTGTGCGAGTGACCCCGTGCGAGAGCCGCGCTGCCTTTCTTCTGCCTGTTCCTTAAAACGGGGCTGTAAAATCACTGGCTGACTTGCCACGGCTCACGTTGCACATTAAAAAGAGAACTAATTTGTAGTCTTTTGCTTCAAAGTAATTTGAATAAGGGATTTACAAAAGTAAGTCTAAATCAAAAAGTAGAAAAACATTAACCTAATACCACGATAGTAATTAGTTGTGAAACTAATTAGCATTTAATGGCAAAAAAGTTTCCCACCTGCATAATGTGTTGTCGGAGGGGAGGGGGCATGAAGGAATCTGAGGCTCTGGGTACTTTGATATTGCAGCGTTTTAAATCGGTGCACAAAGTGCTTTGAAAAAAAAAAAAATCTTTAAAGATGGCAACATTCATTTTTAATTAATAATTAATTTAAACATTGTCTTTCACCATTTACTTCAAAACATTCAAATCAGGTGTTTGGCTTTTGCAGTGATTGTTTGTGCAGTATTAATTATCTCTCCCAAAGTAGCGTTGCATGACACACTTTCCGCCTCTCGCAAACGGATTCATCTCGAGGCAGTTTTAGTCACAATTTGTTATCCTCTGCCCGTGACCACGCAGGGCCGGCGTGAAGGAGGAGTGGAGGGACGTGGCTTTTCCCCAGAAACAAGACTTCTCCCAGGGGTTTCTCCTGGCCTAGCAGACAGGGATGAATGTTTATGATGTTGCGTTAATCCAAGTAATTATTTTTTTGCAAGTTCAAGGCTAGTGTAGTTCATGCACTTCTCATTTCACCTAAGGTTTCGTTGTCTTTGAAGAGACTGCGAGGAAGGAAAAATAACCCAAGTTAAAGCAGGCTAGGACATCTTCCAGAGCTGTGCATAGCCGTGGCCTTTGTTGCACTTAATAATCATCTCTTAGCACATTGATACCAAGGTGAGGGGCACAGAGCAAATACTGGAGAGAGAGAGGGGGACGCGGGGGGGAGGGATGCCTCATTTTCATTATTCACCAGAAAATCCAATTTTCTGTTGTAATATGGAAATGATTGTTTCCTGAGTGTTTTCATTTTCTCAGAATTGATAATATATGTGTTCTCTGCTGAACATTTCTTTTTGCTTAAGTAAAATGTGGCTGGGTGACGTTCCAATACCAGCCTCGGAGCTTCCCCATTAAAACTGGGGTTTCTAAGTAGTTTGAAGGGATCTAAAGCCAGAGCACCGTTCGCACGTCGTGGGGTTTACCCTGTTTACTAAGGAAAATCGTGAGTCAACAGCAGATTTCCAGACGCCGTGCAACCTCTTATTTCCCGTAAGCCTGCTTTGTTAATGACATTTTCAATTTTTTTCTCAGAACAGATTTCCTTGTCATAATGCAAATTATTTTTTAAACAATTTCAGTATATTAGAATAAATCAAGCTTTAAACTTTATTGTAAGGTTTAAAGGACCTTGTTAACATGACAGCTGAGAAGTCTAACACTTTAGCTGAAGTCTTATTACCGCTCATTCATTTCCTTTTTATGACACATTGAACCACGGCTAGGGTTTGGGTTTTTTTTTTTTTTTTTTCTTCCCTTCTCTCTCCCTCCTTTTGAAACACTAGAAAGTAGTCGCATAATTACAGCTTGGGGACATAACACTTTCATCCTGATATGCTCCAAAGGTAGCCACAAAGCAAACTACTCCATGCTGTGTGCACCACCAGAACTCAGTGGCTTTAAACAACAGTCAGCTTTATTAAAAACTCCTCTGTTCCCAGAGTGGACAAACAAAAGAATTACTCAGATGTGAAAAGAAGGGGAATCTGTGTTCAGCAAGGTTATTTATTGTTAACCCCTTCTGGAGTCTTAGGCGTCTGCTTAAAAGGAATGCACTGAAATTCTGCTGCTATAAAGAACTGGGAAACCCTTTCTCCCCCCCCCCCCTTTTTTTTTTTTTTTTTTCTTTTTGCCTAGACCAGCTTTTACCTTTTCTGTAATTCAAGAGACCGAATTCTTTAGTCTCCAAAGGAAGTTTTCCTTCCCCAGTTTGGGGGTTTGGTGAGGTGGTAAACAGAGATCCAGCCTTACTTGAGAGAGACAAAGGTCTCCCTTTGCCTTTGAGCTTATTTAAGCTTATTTAAGCTTATTTATTTCAGGCGAGCGGAAATGTTTGAGCAAAATCACGGCTTCAGGAAGGTTTCCTCCTCACGCCCCACTTTGTGGTTAAAGCTGATGGAGTACACAAGGGGTTCAATTTGTTGTTGTTGTTTTCCATGCAGATCTCTCCCCAGGGGGGGTGTATTACCCACATAACCCTCCTAATTTGGGGGATGGAGTTTTTGCCAAGCTCGCTGTCTGATGTTTGTCCAACACGTGAGCTGCTGGCGGAGGCTGGCATGGCTCTGCCTCCCCGTGGCTTTGTGGCCCTCCCCGGCTTTGTCTCGCTCGGGGTCAAGCAGCCCTTTTCATAACCTGCTGCTTGCTTTGCTTTTTGCTCCTGAAGTTTTGGGGTTTTGACTTCTGGGAACCGCACCAAACCTCAAAGAGAAACTCAGTTAAAACCACCTGGTTTCACCTGCTTTCATAACAAAACCAGGAGGGGAGCAGAGCTTGTTTTGGAAAGCTTCGAGGACCTTTGAAGGAGCTTTCACAGCATTTAGGGTGGTTGCGAGCGCAGCAGGTACCAGTCTTATCTGCTGGCACCCCATCACTTCTGCCCTCTGGCCGAGCCAGAGGCGGAGCAGGGACGCGCTGGGACCCTGAGATGTGGCCCCTGAGCAGCCTCTGGAGAAACTCCCGTCCGTGTGCCGAGGCCACCTCTGCCGCACGCGACGCGCCTTCTTCTCTCTCTCCTTTGAAAATTGCCCATCTGCGTTTTCAAAAATAACACATTTTTTAAAAAAAAAAAAAAAAAAACCAAAAAACCAAGCCCAGCAGCAGCATCAAAACCAGAAAGCCAACAAGCAAGGCTTTTAAATTAAAACAGCAGTAAAAAAGATCACTGCCGTGAAGGCTGAGTAGCACGCACTTTTATCGGTCTCTATGTGTAGCTGCTCTTTCCCCCTTTTTCCTCTGTTTTTCATTTCATATTTTCTCCCAAGTGAGGGGCCTCACAGCCTATTCATAATATAAGTTTTTCTAGTTGCAAATAATCAGTGTGGTTTCAGGTTCGCTAGGGCCACGAGCCGCTGGGACGGTTTAGCACATGCACGCCCCTGAGATGACGATCCCCTCACAAGACTTTTTATATGCTTAACCTAATTCTTAGCCTCTCGTATTTGGATCATCATCACCCAGTCTCCCACCCCCACCCCCCGTCCCCCTTTTCAATAATTAGGTCAAAATTGCATGCGCAATGTCTCTCTCCTTGTAATTTTTGCAAAAATGACACGACACGCAGAGGAACCTCCTTGGTCCCAGGGATGTGTTGGTAGGATGCATTTTTGTGAATTTGAAGGGGAAAGGTGTGGATACGGCATCACTTCTCCCCACCGTTCCTTTCTTGGATGGGCTGGAAGGTGCCGTTAATACTTAAGTATTGATCTCGCACTTTACAACTCAAGAAGTTGAAATATGCAGCGACTTGAAAGGCATTCACAGCTCGCATTAGAAACCTGTGTAGTCAGCAAGTTGGATGCTTCCTAAACTGATCCAGGCTCAAGCCAAAATAAATAAATAGGGTGCGATGATACGGCTTCGCACACTGTACACGCGTACGACTGCTTTGCTCTGGTCACTTGGAATAGGCAGGGTTCCCTTTGGCTTGCACGTGGATACCGAGTACCTTCTCCCCGATGCAGTGATTTATTCTTGCTGTCTGTCAGGGCAATGGAGTACAAACAGTCTTGTCGTTCCTATCCACACAAAGCATAAAATAAAATGCAGCTATTTTAAATCATTCGTTTTAAAGCAAAGCTGTGCAAGGAGGGAAGAAGTTCTTGCAAATGAAGGTTTGTGCTTCGGGTGATGTTTTCACGTAGCCTACGTGAAAGGGTTAAATCAGCCCGCACGGAGAAAAAAAACAAGACTCTCGGAGGTGGATATCAACTCAATGAGAGACAGAGTGGGACTTGAACTCATTAACACTTTATTTTAAGGGATTGCCTACAACATCAATTATTTAGGAAGCAAACAGGGTCTCCATTGCTGTGTCGCATTATTAATACTTGGTAATGTCAATAAAATCCGACTTTCCTATAAAGTCCCACCAACAAGACACTATTGACTCACATGGCTATTTTACATTTCAACAGCTGCCAAACAAAAAAAAAAAAAAAAAAAAAAAAAAAAAAAAGGTAATTTGTATTTGTATAGGATTTGTTGTAAATATGATTTACGAACAACATTTTTCAATTGTTATCATACCCGTTTTGAATGACCAAGCCCCGTTCCCCTGCGGGTTATTCATGTGCTATGCCGTAATGAGAAATTTGGCAGATCTCATCTCTTTAGTACATCCTTGTGCCCACCATGAGCTAGGGATCATGTTCTGCCTTGTTTACAGCTGACAGTGTTATTATTCTCGTTAGGACTGTGCTTTCTTATCATATTGTTGTGTTGAGCGAGCCTTTTCCTCTCTGTTTGTGTTTCCTGGCAGGGCTTTTCTTCCCTTATTGACAGTTTGTAAAAATATGCATTAATTTGGAGTTTAAAGCATGTATCATGGTGTCTCTTTGCTGTGTTTGCTTGAAGTTGATTAATGATAGAACCTCACTTGGGGTCGTCCTCTGGAGAGTTGTCTCACAGGTTCTGCATGTTAACGAGAGACGCCGCACACACAGTGAGCGATGATTAGCCCAGCCTCCGCCGGCTCGGCGGGCTGACAAACTGCTCCTTTGCTGTTCGGATGCTTATTCCGCTTATTTATCCAAAGATTGTATTAATCAACTTAATATGTCAGCTGAGAGCATTTTCTCTCGATCCCGAGACGGAAACCCAATCGAGGTGCTCCTCCCAGAGCGTTTTCCCGGGGAGGTTGAGCGCTGCCTGCCCGGTGTAGCCTTCGCTTGGCTCCGGTGGCCGGCACAGTGGTTGAGGGTCTTCTCCTTGGTGACCTGGAGCTCCTAGGCTTTGCGCACCGGGTCTGAACGCCCAAACCACCTCGCCTTTCTCCCCAAACCGCTCGAGCTGTCAAAACTGTTCTTTAACGAGCAACTTGCCGATTGACCGTGTTTTCATTTTTACAGGCACCCCGTGCATGTCAAAGAAGAACCATTAGATCCAGATGAAAATGAAGGCCCACTATCCTTAGTGACAACAGCCAACCACAGTCCAGATTTCGATCACGACAGAGATTATGAAGACGAACCTGTAAATGAGGACATAGAATGAGTATGTCTGACATCGTTATCCTGAGAATGAAGATTGGAAGAACACGTCAAACTTAGCTGTGAAATCTCTCCATTATTGTACAGTCTGGAGGATTCTCAGTCCACTTTGACAACTATGAAATATGTTAACTCTTAGTGCCATCAAGTATCCCATTTGGGAGTATTTTTGATTTTTCTACTTTTTGTTGAAAAAAGGAATTTGTACTCTGTGCATTGGATGGACTTGTTTGGTACTTGGGATTTTCCTCTCTTACAGTCAACATCAGTGTTGTAAATTTGCTAAACTGATTCACTTGCATTTAGCAGCCAGCTGTGGACTGCAGGTCCTGCCAATTTTGGACACTTGAGGACATCAAACTGAGCATGTACACCTGAACTGCAGATCAAGTCTTTGCCCAGATTTTAAGGATTCCAATGGACAACATATTTGCACAGTACTGCATGTTGATTATCACTGCCTTTACTCCATTTTTTTTGGTTGGTTTCTTTTTTTTTCTTTTTTTTTTTTTTTCTTTTTTTTGCTTCCATTTGGGATGGGGAAGGCCTGTGTGTGCACGTATGTGGATATGTGTGTGTGTGTGTGAGCGTGTCTATCGGGGAGGGGTTAAAAGAAAAAATTATCCCAAACTTTTTAATGTATTGCTTTTATTCCCCCGCCCCACTTCTCCTCTACCATTTTAAGTTCTGACCTCAGGCCTCATCTGGGCCCAGGGCCTCTCGGAGGCTTCAACGTTTTCTGTACTTTGTGATGAATGTTAATAGGTGTTTTTATTATACGAAGCTGAATGTCATTGAATTGTTTGTAGTTTTTTCTGTCATTCATTCCAGTTTCCTTCAGATGCCACCATGTTTTCTTTAGCTATGGAAAACATTCCATTTTGGTGTCTCCTATTTTTTTGTTGTTGTTTTTTGAAAAGGTCCCAAATGCTGCACTATACATGTGGAAGGGTTGTCCAACGGAGAGAGGGGAACGAAGTACTGCAAGAATGAGAATGAATGACAGATGAACATAGAAACACTGTAGGAAGCAACACAGATTCATTCCACAAAGCAGTATTTTTATTTTTTTTTTGGTTTGGGTTTTTGATTTTTTTTTTTCTTTTTTTTTTTTTTGTAGAGAACTGAGTAGTAGCCAGTGATAGGACCAGAGGCAATCGGTGCAAACTGAAACATTGGGGGTTT